TCCAGTCCTGCCAGGGCACCGGCCCTCCCCCATGCTGTGGAGGTCTGCGCTCTCAGGCCTGCACACACACCTCCACATGGAGGGGTCGCCATCGCAGGTGGAGGGACCAGGGTCATCCCTTTCTAGCAAGGGAAGAAGTCGACCTCCAAGAGCGACCCCATGTGCCCCCTGCGTCCGCCTCACCTGCACAGCTCGAGGGTCCGAGGGGTCCACAGCCACAGCCAGCCCGGCCTGGGTGTCTATGATGAGGTAGCTGTAGTTGTCCGAGAGGACGGGGATGGGAAGCACCTTCACACCTGGGGACGCACACAGACAGAGATGGGCTGTGGGTGGGGAGCCCAGTAGTTCCGGGGAGTAAAGGGTGCAGGAGTGTGTCCCCACCCCCGGGGATGCGGCCAGGGGCGCCCCAAAACTCACCATTGAAGAGGCGGGGCTGGGTTTTGGAGTGGCCTTTGGGGTAGCGATTCCGGGCCCTGCGCAGCTGCTGTCTGTAGAAGAGGTACCCCAGCCAGGTGCGCGTGTACAGGCTGTACCTGGAGGGCAGATGGCAGGGGTCAGCCCTGACTCCCAGGGTCCCCTCGTCATCCCTGCAGCCCCACAGCTCGACTCCTCAGCCGAGGCGATTCCATCAGCACACATTGCTGGCCTACTGTGTGCTCTGTCAGCACACAAGAGGGAGCATGAGACAGACACCTGGAGCTTGCAGCCACCAGGGGGACTGTGGGTTGAATCTACAGCTGGCCCCCGCCTAAGGGGGTGGAGAGGAGTTAGGAGGCAGCCTTGAGGGAGGACAAGCAGCTCAGGAGGAGCCCGGCTGGTGGAGCCAGGCAGGCATCGCAATCCCCCCAGGACCTGTGAAGGAGCAGATCCCCGGGCCCAACCCCAGTTTCCACCTTCAGAAGGTCTGCGCTGAGACCCAGAAACTTCCATGTTGCTGCTGATCCGGCAACAACTTTGAGACACACTGGGGCAGAGGAAACAGAGGCCCAGAGGCAGCAGACAGCAGGACTTGTTTGGGGAAACTAGAAAGTTCTATTTGATTGCTTGGTAGTGGAAGCATCCGGATGACCCAATCCCATCATCATTCCAGGCTGTCCTGGGCTCACTGGGAAAAGGCCACAGAGAGGACCATGGTGACAGTCTTCCAAACACAAAATGTCAGGATACAGAGGTGGCTTCACAGGTGTGCGGCCTGTGCAGTTAGGAGGGCCCATTCTAAGACAGGCTCCATTCAATTTAATGCTCTGCTGTTACCATCTTGAAATTCTTTTTTGCGGGGGGAGGGGTACCAGGTATTGAACCCAGGGTGCTTAACCACTGAGCCACATCCCCAGTCCTTTTTATATTTTATTTAGAGACAGGTCTCACTAAATTGCTTAGGGCCTTGCTAAGTTGCTGAGGTTGACTTTGAATTCATGATTCTCCTGCCTCAGCCTCCCAAGTCACTAGGATTACAGGTGTGTGCCACAGCTCTTGGCACATCTTGAAATTATTAATAAATTTATCTTTGAACTTGCATCTTGTGAGTAGAGTCTGAGGCGACAATGGAGCACATGAGCAGAAGAGGAACACATGGTGGTATGAATAGGCTCCATTCCACTCTACCATACACATACTGTATTAGAGATGCTCGTGAGCACAGAATTCTGGGGGATCCCTACGCATGGAAATTCAAGAAGACCCAGAGTGACAGGTTAAGTGCACATCTGTGACTGAGGGCTGGGGATGCTGGCTGACCCCAGAGGTCAAGCTATCAGTGAAACTAGGATTTGTTTCAAATGCACAGACGACAGTGTTCCAAGGAACATGAATGACCAAAGAACCCTCCAGCAACCTCTCCTACTCTGTGACTTCCTAACTCATCAGTGCATTTATGAAGGGGAAGGAAAGATGAGATGACCAATCTGTCCTCTTTCATTCAGTCCTTCCTTAATTTTCAGTAAGTTGTTAGTACTGGTAGAAATAATAATTTAAAAGTTATCAAAAATGAAGTGTTTCTTTTCTTTTATGATCATTCTTTTGACTTGTCATTGATTTGGGTAATACTGGAGATTGAACGCAGGGATACTTTATCACTGAGCTACACTCCAGATCTTTTTAAAAAAATTTTTGAGATGGGGCCTTGCTAAATTGTTGAGACTAGGCCTTAAGCTACTTGAACTTGGGATGCTCCTGCCTCAGCCTCCTGCTTCCCTGAAATTACAGGTGTGTGCCACCATGCCTGGCTCTACTTTTTAGTACGTTTAATGGCACTTTGTCCCTGCTTTTTAAACAAGAGGATCAAGATTTCACTTTAGGCTAGGTTTACAAATTATGTAGCCAGTTCTTTCAGGGAAGGGAAACTTTTAAGTTGGCTGGGGATGGGGTCAGGGGCAGTCTGCATGGGGATGCATGTCAAGCTAGTCAGAAAATAGGAAGGCACTCTGGCTGTTGAAGCCTGAGGCAGAAGAGTGAGTCAGGATGGAGGACAGACCCCATACCTCTCCAGGATTTCTGATATGTGTTTTGCAGGGGGCACACTGAGTGGGGGAGCCTAGAAGAACTAGCTGATTCGTCTGCAGTTTGGCAGAAGCAAGCAGGCCTCCATGACAATTTGGGAATAATGGTTCAGCTGAAGTTTAATCAGTATCCTCCCTGCCCCCCACACCCCTGCACTGAGGGGGCTTTGTAGTCTCTTATGGGTCATAAGGCCATTTTAAAAAATAGGTCCTCTATTTTGGCTTTATTTCTGAGTCAGTTTCAGCCGCTTGTGCTTCTGTGTCTTCAGCAATATTTATCGGGCCCTGGCTATTGGCCAGGCAGACCCTGTGTGCACAGGGTGCAGGGCAAAGTCACCGCCCAGGGCAAAGTCACCAGCCACTTGAAGCTTATGTTCTGGCAGGAGAAATAGGACAGTCAACAAGTAAAGATGACAAACTAAAACCAGGGAAAGGATCCCAGAGGAACTGCCACGTTAGACACACTTTCCTAAAGAAGTTAGGCCTCTCTGTCCGGGGTAGGCTGTGCAGTCTGCGGAGCAGAAGAAGGGGAAGTGCAACCAGCCCCTCCGGCCATCCCCTGCTGGGGACAGGCTATTCTTTCTGTGTTGTGCTGCTAAAATAGCTGAGTGAGCACAACAGAAAACAGATGGCAGGAATTAATTATAAACAGCACATGGAGGTTTTTGTTTTTTTTTTTTTTAGAATATTTGTGTACATCTCCATTGAAAAGGCACTGAGTCGTTGAGAGTGGTTCTCAGTGAAAATACCAGTGGATCTTTAATAGATTTTGTTTGTGTTTTTGTTGTTACTGTTGTTTTGTGGTGCCACAGACAGAACCTGGGGGTGCTCTCCCACTGAATGACTAATCCAGTACCACCTCCACCCTTTTTAAAAATTTGAGACAGGGTCTCCCTAAGTTGCCCAGGCTGGTCTCCAACTTGTGATCCTCCTGCCACAGCCTCCTGAATCTCTGGGATTGCAGGGGTGCAGCCCGGCACCTGGCTGGATTTTCTTCCTATCTGGTAGTGAACATGAAATACTTTTGGAGAGAGCCAGAGAGCCAGAGTAAGTGAGAAACTCTAAAAGAATCCTGTGGTTCAGAAATAAGATCCTCCCCAAACAAAAATTAAAAACAAAACCAAACACTTTATTGTTGTATACTCAGGTTGGTTTTACTTTCCTTTTTTTAATCAACCAGCATAAAAATTACTGCTTGAAAACACAAATACAAAAGATAGAAAATGGACTTAAAAATAAATGAAAACTAAAGCCAGGAGTGATAGCGCATGCCTGTAACCCCAGGAACTTGGGAGGCTGAGGCAGGAGGAGGCCAGCCTGGGCAACTCAGTGAGAGACCCTGTGGCAAAATAAAATAAAGGGCTGAGGGGGATGTCGCTCAGTGGTAGAGCACACGTATCACCTGGTTTCAATCCCCACTAGAGAGAGAGAGAGAGAGAGAGAGAGAGAGAGAGAGAGAGAGAGAGAGAGACACGAGGGGAGAGAAGGGGGGGAGGCAAAGAAAGAAATATATAAACTGAAAGACATATTAAGAAATAAAAAAGACACATTAAGGTTGCCAAGTGTCCCTCTGATCCCTTGAATACTCTTGGAGAGGGTAGAGGATAGCAGATTGAAGCGAGTGGGAGACACAGGTGTCAGCCATTTCTACCATCCTGAGAAGAGGGCGGCCTTCTTCATTCCCTCCACAATTTACCCAGGCGTGGCAGAGTGTGTGTGTGTGTGTGTGTGTGTGTGCTCGCGCGCGCGCTGGAGAGAGGTGGTGAGTGGACAGCTGTGGCTGCTGCCCCTCTCTGCTGGAGCAGGAACTGGAGGGTTGAACTGTCCCTGAAGGTCCTGAGCTGGAGGAAGGGTGAGCTCCGGTGGCTGTCAGCTGCCTGAGGACAGGCCCCACAGTGGCCTGCCGCCGGAGGTTGTGCAGGACCCTGCAGGTGAGGAGCCTGAGGGAATGGGAAAGAAGGAGGGCACAGCCCGCCTCCTCCTGGGCAGGTCCCTTGCCTGTGCTGCCCTCTCCTCCCTCAAGAAGCCTTCCCTGGCCCTCAGCCTCCCTCGCTCGCTCACCGAGGCTCAACACACAGACAACACTGAGAGCTCCAGCACAGGAGCGCAGTCTACACCTGGGCGCTGGGGGCAGTCAGCCAAGTACAATTTGAAGGAGCAAATTTGCATAGCCTGCATCTCCTGCACAGGAGTCTAATCAGTCAGCAGGGGAGAAACCTGGCTGACTCCACCTGAAACCAAGATCAAAGTTAACCTCAGGCCTGGGGGTGTAGCTCAGGGGCAGGCAGAGCATTTGCCTAGCATAGGTGAGGCCCTGGGTTCCATCTCCCGCCCTGCAAAGAAAAAACAAAAAAACCTCAGCAGCCACAGTATACAGACATCATGTGCTTCTCAATATCTCAATATGATGCCAAGGAGGGCATGACTTCACTTTGCGGTACTCATGCCAAAAATACATAGCCATAATTTATTCATAAGAAGACCTCAGACAAACGTGTCAACATCATGACAGACAGACTGAAAACTAGGAGACTAAATGCTACTCCGGGAGCTGGATTGAATTCTACACCAGAAAAAAGAATATTAGGGAGTCAGTTGGCAGAATTTGAATAAGTTCTGAGAGTAATTAACAATCTTGTGTTGATGCTAATTTGTTGGTTTTGATAATTGTACGGTGGTTATGAAAGATGTTAATATTTGAGAAGTTGGGCAAGGGGTATATAGGAATTCTTTGTGCTATTTTGGCAATTCTGAAATTATTTCAAAATGGAAAGTTAAAAAGTTCAATGAGACAAGCACCTTTCCTCTGTACCCGACACCAATTGCGCCATGTTGAGGTCTGTTTGTCTTCGTTTTCTCCCTACACCAGCTCTGTGCCCTTGGCAGGCTGTGGGTCTTGTAGATAAGGTTCCTCATCCACAGAATGGCAAGCCACACTTGGGACTTGGAAGAGACTAAGTGGCATAGAGCAAGATAACAGGCAAGGCTCTTTCAGGGTGGGAGAGGTTGAGCAACTGCCACTTCCTTCCTAAATT